GAGAGAGAGAGAGAGAGAGAGAGAGAGAGAGAGAGAGAGAGAGAGAGAGAGAGATGGATGATGGGGGAGGGGGAGAAAAATCCATGCTGATAAAAATAGCTTGGGACAGAGCAGAGAATGAATAAACACTGAGTGAAGCCTCAGCATTCAGAGAATGGTCTCAGCTGTCAGCAGCTAGTTGACTAATACTTATCAGTTTCAAACAGTAAAAACAGTGACAGCTTTTTCACATAAGATTCATCTTCCATAGAGCATAATGATGTGTGAGGTTGGGAGCTGGGGGAGGGGCAGGGCTGGCAATGGACAATAACAGTTTCCTGTATCAAAAACTCATTTCATTGCAAGGACTACATTTCCGTGAAGGGAGCCAACTGACCCCAACAGCAAGTATACAAGGTCCTGGCTGCCTTGCTTCAGTGGTTTCTCTGATTGGCTTTCTTCAATTCCATCTTCCAGGTTAATAATAAAAGCTTCCATTTCTCTCGCAAAAGTTCCAAGGTTAATGCAGGAAGTTTTCATTGAAAAACTTATCATACTACCCGATTTATTTCCGGAAACTCAGCATATGACCTGGGACTTGGCTGGCATATAGGCAGAGCCCACTATCTTGAAAAAGTCCTTCTGTGGGACTCATTAGAACTAGGACTCAGAAAGTGAGAGGAAGAAGGATATACTTATTTTGATAGTTGTGTTGATAAGTGCATACTTGTAGCTATCATTCTTTCCAGGAGAGCATGCCCAAATATAAAAAATGCAGGAAGAGATGATAAATCAAAGGTGATGCCAATCTCCTTTGAGTCTTAAGTGCTATTTTATTTAAAAATGCTCAATTAATAATCTAGAGGAGACTCTGTAAACATCTGTTCTTTAGTAAATAGATGTCAAAAGTCAGAAAGGCTTTAACTCTCACAGATCTCTGTGTGGTGTGGTTAGATTCTGTGACAGTACTTCCTAAAACAATTCAAAGTAATAGCCAGAAGTGTATTGATGATGAAAAAGTATGCTATAAATGTAATGAAGTAAGAAAAGCTCCACTCCTTGTGCCAGAAAGTCTGCCAGTTTCCTTTAAATGTTTTGCACTTCATTTCCCCCCCAAAATAAATCTGCTAATTGTAACTCATCTTATGTGTGCCAAGCGCTGATTTGACTCTTTTAACCTCTGCCTATCCCTCATAGAGCATTATTTAGCTGACTGTTATTACATGGACAAAAAAATGGAATTGGTGTATGCGAGATGAGAGTATGTCCTTTGGATTGGAAGCTTTGTCACTCACAGTTAATCGAGTTGGGGACTTTCTGAGGGAGAGCTGAATGAACACTGAAAGCTAACCTAATGAAAAAGTATGAGCATTTTCAGAAGACATTGTTGTATAAATCATTGTTCACCTCTGTGGATGAGGCCTACAGTCACCGCAAAGAAATCTGAGCCTACCTGCTTCTTGACTCTGTCCTTCCATTTCTTCTGTACTTTGTTTTTCCTCTGGACCATTCTCATCTTTCAAGAAAATGAGAAGAGAAAAAAAAATACATCAAGTCAATTTATGTAATTCTCTTTATGGCTAATATGCAGCACTGAAATTAATTGTAACCAATGTAGCATGATGCCCCATAAAGCAAAGCAGAGAGATAAATCAGAGGCATGAGACAGAAAAATCACCTACATCAATACTTGCATTTATACTTCTCCCTTTTCACATGATTTGCTTGATGAAATGTTGAACTGCAGTAAACAAAATTCACTTAGCAGTCCTAGGAACAGCTTTTCCCTTGCACAGTGTTTCCCAACATGTAATACAGGTTTTCATTCTAATTTGCTTTGCTCCCTTGATTTAGCAAATGCGTTGTATAAGGAAGTTTGGCTAATTTTCTATGCCCTTTATTTTTCTGTGCAGGGTATGTTACAAAGAATTCTCCTTCCACTTCACATTCACAAAACAGTATAACATATCCATGCTATGAAATATTTTGTCTTGAACAGATTATGGTAAAGCTCCTTGAAAATAACCCCTTGACAAATAAGTGGGCAGTTGCAATGTGTACTAGAAACCAACTAAAATTTTCTTTTGGCTAATATATATGTTATATATGCCTGTATGTGTGTATATTTATGTGTAGAAAAAACAAACTTCCTAAAGGCAAGTAAAGGCATGGTTTTATAACTCACTGCTAGAAAAGTTTCCAAAATTTCCTTTTGTTTGGAAATTAAAAAAAAAAGGGGGGGGATAAATTTACAAAGAGTATAGGAATAAAATATAAAACATGTAGTTAAAGCATAGCAAACAGAATCAGAAGTTACTAGCATCTACTGCTATGGGTTAAAATAGCCACAGAGCCTTGGTCTCCCAAGAAATAGAGTCTATGTTTCTTCTTCTTGCATCTGGACTGGTTCTGTGATGTAGGTGGATCAATGAAATGTAGAAGTTATATTCTGGAATTTCCAACCAAAACCTCAGAGTACTACCAGCTTAGAACTTCCAGAATCAATTTTGCACCTTCCTGTGACTTACTTCTTTTGCATCTTATCTTCCTTTATTCCTAAGAAAGCATTTTATCCTGATTCCATAAGCAATGTAACAGCTAAACTAGAGTTTGCTTTCCAAAAGGAAATAGAACATTGTGCAGCCATGATTCAAAGGGACAAAAAGAACATGGTTAAGGTGGTTGCTTTAGGGATTAGATGGGTCAGGCCCCGGAGATGTACATTAGGTACATAGTCAGACTGGTTCTTATTGTACTCTGGAAGCCAGCCACTTTTCTGTGAAAAAGACGACATTAGCCTACCAAGTGGAGAAGGAGCGACAGGGCAGAGAGAAGGCCATGTGTGGGAGCAGGAGGGCTGGCCCTGTGAGTAAGCTTTTTTGTACCAGGCTAGCTGCCCACCAAACACCACCCCTGATGACCTTAACCAGGGCACAGAAACAAAGAATCACCCAGCTGAGCCCTTTTATAATTTCTGACCACAAGCAGGTTCAGATCACTTAACCTTGTTTTATTGGATATGCAACTACAATCAGCTCTTAATCCAGAGGTAAGAACAGGAAATTCTTCCCAGAGGAAGACTGAACAAGTTGAGCCAGAACAAGAGCCTCAGAAATATTAGGGGAACATTTCATCAAGAAGTTCTAGAAAAAAAAAATGCATTGAAGAACATTTTAGAAGGAAAGCATTTAGAATTGACTTGAATAAAAGAAAAAAGTTTTCACTAAAAAGAAAAAAAAGTCACATGGAAGTTGGGAAGGAATGCTATGAATAAATACATAAATACATGCAGCGTTTCCTCTGCCCAGCTCTGTGCGTCTGTCCTGAGGGACTCTGTGTAACGCTTAACATGAGAACCCGAGCTGTTCTGAGGATCCCTACACTCAATGTTTTAAATGGCATATTTACAAGTACCACATGAGTATCTGACATTTTTCTCTGCCCTGGTTATTCATGTAGGCAATGGTGTTGACTTTAGCTCTGGAGAAAAAAGTAGTCAATACTGCTGCTCTTATTCTCTTAACAAGGCTGAGTTGGCACAGAAGCATGTGTCAAAAACATAGGTCAGTATTTCACCTTTTCCTCCCACCAAAAGGACTCAGAGTCAAGTAGTAGAAATCTGCCAGCTTTTCTACCTCCCCCAACAAAAAGACCTTTTGACACAAAATTTACAACTGGTTTGAAATCTGGGGAGACAGGCTGCCTTAGAAACTAGTTTAGTTGTTACATTGCTTATGGAGTCAGGGTAAAAAGCTTTCTTAGGAAGAAAGGAAGATAAGCAAAAGAAGTAAGTCACCGGAAGGTGCAAAATTGATTCTGGAAGTTCTAAGTGCATGAATAGGAAATACACGATGACACCCGAAATCCACTTGTACAATAAGAACCAGTCTGCTTACCTACTGTACATCTCCTGGGGCTCACCCATCTAATCCCTAAAGCAACCACCTTAACCGCGTTCTTTGCTGTCCCTTTGAATCATGGCTGCACAACGTTCTATTTCCCTTTGGAAAGCAAACTCCAGAAACGTTCGGCATGTTTATCACAGAGGGAACGCACTCTAGGAGAATGCTGGATGGGCTGTTGGAGTAACAGGCCCTCAAGTGAAAAGATTGGAGTATATATCTATCTCTTCCATCAATTTCCAAATGCTAGTGTGTTCCCAAAGCCAGCAGGGGGAAGCAGTGCCGAAGTCTTGGTTTCTGAGCCCAGCTTATGCATTCTTGGGCAATTAGATTAGCATTCATTTCACTCTCTTTTAGAGGGATGGTTGACCTGCTTATAACTTTCCATCCATTTCAAAAGCCTCAATTGGGTTCTTTCTTCGTGAAAGAGTGGACTTCCACTGAGAGGGGGGAAAATTCCATTACATAGCTACATGTAAGTATTTGATGAGGGCAAGTTTTCTTTTTATTAGTCTTGTCTGACTAGCTATCTTCACAGGAAGCACATAAACAATAAAAATTAAGTAGGGAACAGAGTGTAAACTTGTGGGTTTTAGAAAGGATTTAAAAGTTTATAATAAATGTGAAAAAAAAAAGGGAAATGACAGGCTACTTTGTTAGCTTAAAAAGTGTTGCACAGTAGCTAAGTTCTCTAAGTTAATATACCTTTAAGATCACCTCAGATAATAAAAACAGGCTTTAATTCAGGTAATATAAATTTCCCTATCATTTATGCTTAGTGTCACAATATTTTACCATGCCAAAAAACACAATAACCATGAGAATTCTAGCCTTTGCAGTATTTTTGTTTCTCAAGCATTAGTGCCCTGCTCATCACTCTTTCGACCCACGTATACTGAACACAAACTAAATGCAAGATAGTTCAGAAATTTTATAGAAATAAAAAGAAGAGGCTCCAACTGCAAAGTGAATTCACCTAAGTGGAGGGAAGACACTCTTGCTTGGAGAATAATAATGCTGTACAGGTTAATTCTTTGGAAAACTTTTGCAAGGACAACTTCTCAAATTTCATGTCCACAAATCATTATCCTGATAGTTGTAGTTCCTTTTATGAATAGTGCATGGGGACAGGAAGGAAAAGGGAAATTAATCAGAGCAAACCAGTCCAGTTGTTGAAAAATACAACTTGCTGGTATTCTAATACTGTATCTATTAAAGGTGCCAAGATTTCTGGACAATTTAGATACAGTGATTTGCAAATTGGGTTATTGGTCCCAACATTTTTGAGTCCCTGGGAAAATGTAAAGCCTTATAAATGTCAGTGTTCCTCCACAATACAGAGAATTCTTCCCTTTCCCATGGTGTTTGACTTGACTGTGCAGTTAGTTGATTTGCTTCATAAAATACCAGTGGAGGTAATGTCAGTAAAGGGCTTAACTATGTTGCCTGACTGCACTTGGCACTTTTATGCTCCTGATGTTTTCCATGACAAAAAAAGATGTTTCTGTAGTGATACCTGAAGCAGACTGACTCCAAGCCACAGTATGGAAATTTGTAAATCCAGGCAACACAGAGCTGAAAACAAAACCACCCTGCTGAGCTCAACCTATATAGGCTATATACCATAATCAATCAGCAAACTTATCAGTGTGACTGTAAATCATTGCATTTAGGGTGATTTCTTAACCAGCATTATTATGACAATAACTAGTAATTAGAAATTATAAATTTTTCTCAGGTCAGAAAGGCTCAGGGTTTTTTAAAATTATTATTATTATTTTAAAGATTTTATTTATTTATTCGTACAGAACTGGGGTACAGGCCAGAGATGCGGAGGGTGAGAGGATTCACCAGAGACAGAGTGGGGAGCAGAACAGGCAGATCGACGAAGTACACTGCTGAGGGGAGCAGCGGGCGGGTCAGGAGAGGTCTGCCACGCCATGTGGTCACCTCCGGGGCAGGCGGGAATCGAACTAATGCGGGAGTGGCTTAAGCTTCTTTGTGCTGTGCTTTAACCTGCTGCGCCACCAGGGAGGGCCCTTTTTTATTATTTTTTAACTCAGTGCTCTTTTATTCATAAGGAATTCTGTCCTTAATTGTATACTTTGCCATGTGGGCAACAGGATAGTACTGGTTCATAGTAGCTAACATGCATACCATTGCTAATAATATGTATCATATATATAATAAAATAAACATAGTTAATGTTAATTATGTTTCAATTAGTATTTAAGAGAGCCTTGAATGGGTTAACAAATTTAATTCACATAATAGTAGGTTATTATTATCCACATTTCACAGATGGGGAAACTGAATCACAAAGATGTTAGGTAATTTGTCTACAGTTAGAAGCCATGGCAGCAGGGTTTCAAACATATACCAGAGACCCCTGCTGGCTCCCTGAGAACCTAACATTTATTGTCTGGTTAAGACTGTCAAATTAAGGGTCAGCATATCTAGGGAAAAATGATAATACAAAAAGAGTTGAAAACTAAGCTCTAACTCAAATGGATTAACGAAGAATACTAGCCTTGAGACCAGAGTTCATCTGATATTTACTACAATGCTACAACCCCAAACTTATTATTTTAATGCTAGACACTTTTGTTTGGGT